TACCATATTGAAAAATATACTATTTTTGTATGATAATTATGGGTTTTGTATTTTATTTTAATAGAAGTTGATGTTGCTTTTGCAATTATCCATCAATTTTTTAAAATTAAACACTATCTACAGATTTGCATCGAAGCGTTTCTTATGATAGTGATTTTAATCACGGTCAGATTAAATCTATACTGAACCCAACTATGCAATGTCTCCACTATGCCGCGACCCCACTGTGCTACCGTTTTTTTTTCTAAATACATTATAAGTACATCTTTCATTTGACATACTTTTTATTTAAGTAGATTTATACATTTTTTTAAATTTAGATTATTTATTAATTTATTTATTTTATTTAATAACATATTATATATTTTTAATAGTTAATATATTGAGAGGTGACGACTTGGGCCACGCAACGGATTGTGGAGTCGCCACCCTCATGGCTCCGTTGCAAAAAGGAAAATGGGTCGCCAACCACTTAGGCGAGGGTCTTGACAGAAAAGAACAACACCCGGACCATAAGTGGATTTAATAGAAAAAAAATTTAAAAAAAAATAATAAGAAAACCAATAATATGCATTTTGATGAGATAAAGTGAATTAAAAAAAATTTTATATATATAAACATATACTAAAAATATAAAGTGTTGTTGTAGACTATAATACGCTGATACCTTGTAAATATAACCAATATGTTTGTTTGATGTCACCAGTGGTGGACATACTTTAGTATGTCGAAGACTGTTACCTTAAAACTAGAGAAAATGATTTAAAGGGAAAAAAATAAGATACACGTGAATATTGAAGATATTCACGCAATAAAAAGATTTTTGTTGATTATGAATATTAAGGGGATTTTATTTAATTATTACAGTTACATTAATAGTGGACAAAACCCGAAGGCAAAAACCACTCTGAAAATGAAGGGACAAGAGAGAAAAAAAAAAACAATTGTTAAGACAAGAAAAAATTTAACCTACAACTTTTAAATATTACACGTGAAGCGTCTTCCGCATCGGAACAAGTCCGTGTACTCCGGGCGCGGCGGATAATTTCTGTAATCTGGCCGGCCGGACCGTACTTGGGTACTGCGGGAATAATATATATATATATATATATATGTGAAATATACATGACACATCACTGACCAATAACCTTATAACCAGCAACGCTAAAATTATTTATATCTCATAATAAAATTAATTTATGACAGAAAAAGAAAAAAGAAAGGCTCAATACATTATATTAAATAAATAAAAGAAAAAAATCAACAATACGATACCCAGTCCCGGATGGGACTCATCCTAAGATGGGGATCTCGGCCCCGGAAATGGCCAACGCCTTGCTGAATTAATACATTATATTTATAAACGAACACGAGAAAAAAAAACTATAATTGGCTGCACGCACACAGCAAAACAGACCACGACGGTGGTTCAAAGGGAAGAGAGACTACGAAAAAATTTCTACACACCGGGCGAGACACAACGACGACGAACCCGTTTGGGAGAGGGTATCGGCTTAACGATTTACAAAATATACAACAGATAAAAATATGAACAATATTAGAGTTATACAGGTATGGACAGTGGTGGCCAGTGTATGTGTCATATAGGGAACGATTGTTAAACTGATAAAGAATATTGTGTGTATAGCGTTCACCTTGACAGCAACAGTACAGTTTTCTGATTACACGGCCGGATATAACGTACGCGCGCCCATTAGCAAAGCAAAACAGTAATCTATCAATATCATAAAATTCACATTTTGTCACGTTACAATATGTAAGTATTATTTTGTGTAGGAGTAGATTTTCAAAGTAAAATGTTTAAAAACCAACTTTTCATTAAATATGAAATTAAAACAATAAATGAAAAATTGGACATTTTGTTACAAAATTTTGAAAGGTTAGAAAATTTGAAAGTACTTGCCACTTCAGAAAATAGCTCCACAACTGATTATTCAGCTATGGATTGTATCTTCCCTATTGAATTGGAGACTGATTTAGAAAGTGTGAATGTGCAAATTTTATCAGATTCTACTTACCAAAAAAAACTGGTATGGTTAATTTTTTATGTTAAAATAATTAATCTTCAATAATGTATAAATGATTAAAGATTTTTCTAAAATAATAGAAATACATATTATACTGATACTTCTGACTGTAAAGCGGCCCTCACACGATCAATATTACTGACAGTATAATTATTGACAGTATTTGACATTACTGTCAGTGTACTCCTCAAACGGTCAGTATAAATTAGTGTCAATACATCAGTACTGATCTGTATTTACATTGTTCGGGTGTTCGTTTGGTCAATTTTATTAAAATGGACGAAAATCGTCGTAAAGCGTGCATAGCAATTATTTTAGCGTTTTCTATTCCAAGTAAACGGATAACTAATAGGAAGCGATGGGTAAAAGAATGGATTAGCAAACGTAAGAAGTATTGTCATTTAAATCTGTTAAAAGAAATCGAGCTTTCCGACCCAAAAGACTACCAGAATTATTTTCGAATGAACAGTAACATCTATAATAAATTACTAAGCATGGTAGAACCACTTATTATTAAGAAAAATACTAATATGAGGGAAAGTATTCCTCCAAATCAAAGACTGGCTCTTACTTTAAGATACCTTGCAACTGGGCGATCGTTTGAAGACTTGAAATATTCTGCAGTCATCGCGCCAACAACCATAAGTGAAATCGTGATGGAGACTTGCAAAGCTATAATTACTGTTCTCAAGGATCGCATTCAGGTTAATAAAATTATATTATTAATGCTTAATAATAAATAAACAATTACATAATTTAACAATATTGCAGTCTTTATAACTTATTTGAGCAAAGTCTTATTAAAGTAACATATAGTATTATATTAAACATCACTTCCATTCCAGTTGCCATAGAAATTTTGTAAATTTGTTTGTGTCAAAACATAGTCCTGAGATTGTGATGTACTATTTGAATTTTCGTTCCAATTATTTACTGTCATTGGAGTAGATGAACGAGTACAATCTTCTTCATTTATTTTGACTGAGTTTCTGTGCAAAGTTCCAAGCTGTGCCTCAAACAAAATATCATTGATCGCTTTCTGAGCAAATACTTTTTGATTAGGAGTCAGGGTTTTTAACGTATTTGCCCAAACTTTGGCCTGGTCTAAGTCTGAATCTTGTCTATTTTCTTCATTTGTTAAATAATTACAAGCAAGTGATAGTAATTCATTTTGTTGACTGATAGTAGATTTGGATTTTTTTGGTAACGGTCGAATAAAAGTAGGAACTGCATTTTTTGTTTGTTGAATTGCTTCACTAGATTCATTGTTTGGTACCTTAAATATAAATCGAAGAATTTTATTTAAAATTAATATTTTTTTAATGTTTTACTTATAAATTAAATTCTATGATTACAATTAGTCAATTTATATTAATTAGTAATTTTTTGAAGCTTTCACAGACTCCTGAAGCATGGAAAATTGTTGCGAGTGATTTTAATTGCAAATGGAATTTCGGTAATTGTTTGGGAGCCATAGATGGCAAACACTTGAACATAAACCCCCTAACTCGGGCTCCATGTACTATAATTATAAAGGTATAAATTATAATAAAGGTAATTAATTATAATAATTATTAATTTTTTTTTATATTATTAAGGTACATTTAGTATTGTCTTGATGGCGGTAGTTAATGCGAATTATCAATTCACTATGGTAGATGTTGGAGCAAATGGTAGAATATCAGATGGAGGCGTACTGTACTACACAAAATTTTGGGAAAAATTTGAAAACCATACTTTAAACATTCCACCACCGTCATGTTTAACAAATACTATTGAAAAATACCCTTATGTATTTCTTGGCGACGAAGCATTTTCATTGAAGACTAATCTTATGAAACCATATAGTCGACATGATTTGACTAATAAGCGCCGTATTTTTAATTACCGCCTTTCGCGTGCCCGTCGTGTGGTAGAAAACGCTTTCGGAATACTAGCCAGTCGGTTTGGAGTTTTTCAAAAACCAATAAACCTCGAACCAGACAAAGCGTCTACAATTACATTAGCCTGCTGTTATTTGCATAATTTCTTAATAGAAAATAATAAACATCTTTATTGTTCAAGAAATGTACTCATAACAGAAAATTTGGAGACAGGTGAACTTCAAATTGGCGATGAAATAACCGAAAATGTGTTAACTCCTTTGCAAAAAAATCCTATTCCAAATAAAAGTGCGAATGGGAAAATGGTAAGAGATAAATATTGCGATTACTTCAGTGAAGAAGGTCAAGTCCCATGGCAGTTAAATATTAATAATATACATTAACTAATTTATATTTGTATTATTCTTTTATTATATTTTTAGAAATAAAATAATATATTTTAATGATCTTACCTTTTCATTATTTGTGTCGTCGTTTATCGATGAAGTACTATCTACTGGTTTTTCCAAATCAGCCAAAAACGCCAGTTCTTCAAATAACCAACTCGAAGGTTGATAAATGTCGTCAGCTCCAGCGCCACTTCTTTTAGATTCATGAATTTTTTTTAATTCTTTACGGAAATTACTTCGTAAAGTATTAATTTTCTTTTTTACATCATCTATAGAAGCATCAGGCTTAATTAACTTATAAACAACTAATAATTCACTATAAGCATCTTTTTTTTTGTCTCTATTACTATAGTCTTTGCAACGAATATCCCATAAACATTTTAAATCTTTATACTTGGAAACAAAATCACGTAATTGTTGTTCACGGCATTCGCGCGCGTTTGGAAATTCATCACGTGTGTCATCCGTTGCTGCGATGTCAATACTGACGAAATGTCAATATCGACCTCACACTATCAATATAATCATCAGTAACCAAATACTGACGATTCGATATCCGAATTTTTCATCAGTCATCAGTATCGTTTTATCATACTGACAGTACATCAGTACTCACATCACACGATCAATAATACTGTCATTATCCAAAATACTGTCAGTAATATTGATCGTGTGAGGGCCGCTTAAATGTTTTTTTCATATTAATTTTTGTAATCTGGATTGAGTATTAAGTGTTATTAATAAGATATGCTTAAGAAATACTTTGATGATTATAATTGAATAATAATAATAAATTTAAATTGATCATTTAATTTTTTCTGTAAATTAATATGATTGAATAGTTTTTCTAAAAAAAATAAATTAAATTTTTTAAAAAGTTGATTTATTGATTTTTTGTTACATACTAGATTAAAGAACTTTCATTATTGGGTGGAGGTAATGTAAGAAAAATATTAAAACTGTGGCGGTCGAATGTTCTAGAGAGTTCCGCCGCCGCCTCTAGAAGATTCCTCTGACTATTTAAGGGCAAGATCGTCGCTCCAGTCATTCAATCGATCAGTCAATCACTTACGCATTCTGTCTTAAACGCGCTTCGTCTCTCGCTGTTATTTGTTAGTTCGTTGTAATATAGTATAGTTGTTATTAAATCGTAAAAGTGTTTATTACTTCTATATATTACACCGCGCTACATTGGTGACCTCGACGATAACAAGTATGAACGCCGAAGAACTACGCAATCAATTGGAGGAGTTACGCCAATAAAACGCTCGCCTTGCAGCACTACAGGCACAGCAATATCCAACAGCTTCTGTGAATCGCGTTGCCGTCAAGTTGCCACCTTTCTGGTCCGAAAGACCGAGCTTATGGTTCTCACAGGTTGACTCGCAGTTTGCAATCTCGGGAATAACAAGTGAGGAAACAAAATTTAATTATGTTGTGGCTCAGCTTGATACGCGTTACGCCGCCGAAGTAGAGGATATTATTACTAACCCACCGCCTACTGAACGCTACAAACATCTACGCGCAAAACTTGTTGAACGGTTGTCTATCTCAGAAGAACAACGTGTGCGGCAACTCATCAATGAAGAAGAACTAGGTGACCGTAAGCCATCACAGTTCTTACGACATCTCCGTTCCCTTGCCGGCACTACTACATTACAAGACAATATTTTACGTCAACTTTGGCTCCGCCGTCTACCATCACATGCACAAGCTATTTTAACCGCACAATCAGAGCTTCCTCTGGATAAGGTAGCCGAGCTGGCTGACAAAATTGTTGAAGTGCAGCCAGCCCCCTCGCAATTCGTCCATGCTGTTGCCACGACGAACAATAAAAAGGAACTCGATGTTTTAGCTGCCATTGAAGCACTCACAAAACAGGTAAGCGAATTATGTGCTAAACGCCCGCAACGTTCCCGCTCTAGGTCACGTAACCGTTCAAACGTGGAACTGACTAACGGCAAAGGATGGTGTTGGTATCATAGCACTTATGGAGAAAAGGCTGCCAAATGTAAGGCTCCCTGCAAGTATCAGGAAAACTCCAACGACAGTCAGTAGCGGCGGCAACAGACTGTCCGAACCCGAGCAGCCGCCTGTTTGTTACAGATCAAATAACAAAACGCCAATTTTTAGTCGACTCCGGTTCCGACTTATCTTGTTACCCTCAACGGCTACTACGGGAACGACGCCATGCCACCGATTACGACCTCAGCGCGGCCAACAACAGTACCATAAAAACTTACGGGACGGTCCATCTCAATTTGAATTTAGGACTTCGACGCAGTTTCCCGTGGAGTTTTATTGTCGCCGACGTGAGTACTCCTATCATTGGTTCCGACTTCATGGCATACTACCACTTGCTGCCGGATTGCCGTACCAAACGTCTTATTGATGGTGTCACAGGCTTGGCTGTGAATGGTAAGGTTTCCTCTGTAAATCAATGCAGCATAAAATCAGTTGCCAACACTTTCCCTTGGGCTGCACTTCTCGCAGAATTTCCGGACATCACACGTCCCACCGGATTACCCAGGACAATAAAACATCAAACAGTGCACCACATTCTCACGACACCTGGTCAACCAATAGCCTGCCGCCCACGCCGCTTAGCTCCAGGTAGACTAAAAATCGCCAAACAGGAATTCGCGGAAATGGTCAAGGCAGGTACCGCTAGACCTTCAAGCAGTCCGTGGTCTTCACCATTACATTTAGCACCGAAAGGGGAGAACAGCTGGCGTCCTTGCGGTGATTACCGCGCGCTGAACGCCCGAACTATACCAGACTCCTATCCAGTCAGACACATACATGATTTCTCGCACAACCTGGCTAATTGCACGCTATTTTCCACAATCGATCTGGTAAAGGCTTACCATCAAATACCTGTTAATCCGGACGATATATGCAAAACAGCCATTACCACTCCATTCGGACTTTACGAATTTCCTTTTATGACATTCGGATTGCGAAATGCTGGACAAACTTTTCAACGCTTCATAGACGAAGTTACCAATGGGTTGGACTTCTGTTATGCATATATTGATGACATTTTGGTATTCTCTAAATCGGAAGAGGACCACAAACAGCATTTACGCACTCTTTTCGGGAGACTTTCTGACTACGGTGTTGTCGTTAACCCGCAAAAATGTGTATTAGGTTCGGCTGAGGTGAAATTTCTAGGTTACCTAGTATCTTCTGAAGGCACCCGCCCGCCACCGGAACGCGTCGAAGCCCTACGACAGTATCCATTGCCAAAATCTATGCAAGGATTACGCCGGTTTTTGGGAATGGTAAATTTTTATCGCCGGTTTATTACCAAAGCTGCCGACCTGCAAGCACCACTTCACGGTATTCTCAAAGGCCCGAAGACAAAAGGTTCCCAACAGATAGAATGGACTCCCGAAGTAGAAAAAGCGTTCACCACATGCAAAGAAAGTCTTGCGACCGCTACTCTTTTAGCACATCCTCATCCAGCCGCACGACTTGGACTATTCACAGACGCATCTAGCCAATCTATCGGCGCATGTCTGCAGCAGCGAGTCAATAACATCTGGCAACCCATAGCATTTTTTTCAAAGAAAATGTCGGTGAAACAAAGTGCGTGGCCTGCGTATTATCGTGAGTTGCTTGCCATCTATGAATCGGTGAAGTATTTCAGGCACATTGTCGAAGCACAACCATGTACCATTTTCACCGATCATAAGCCACTCGTATATGCTTTCACCCAACGGAGAGAAAAGATACCTCCTACGCAACTCAACCAGTTGACATTCATATCCGAATTCACCACCGACATTCAACACATTAAAGGTGATGAAAATATCGTCGCGGATACAATGTCACGCATTGAAGTTGTGTCTCTCCCGCTGGACTACCGAGCTCTTGCTGCATCTCAAGACACGGATGATGAACTCAAACATTTTACTGACAACAATTCATCTCTTCATTTGGAGAAGGTACTAGTGCCAGGATCTTCAGCCTATATTTATTGCGACACGTCAACGGGACGCCCACGACCATTTTTGCCACAACGATTCCGGCGTCACGCATTTGATCAGTTACACAACCTTAGTCACCCCGGTGCACGCGCAACAGCTCACTTAGTTTCAGAACGATTTGTGTGGCCAGCAATGAAAAAGGATTGCCGTTCCTGGGCACGTGCCTGCGTCCACTGTCAGCGATCGAAAATAAGCCGACACGTCTCAGCCCCACTGGGAAACTTTGAAACACCTTCACGCCGATTCAAACATGTTCATGTCGATATCATCGGTCCATTGCCGCCATCACAGTCCTTTAGGTACTGTCTGACGGTAATCGACCGTTTCACCCGTTGGCCGGAGGTGTATCCACTCGAACGTATAACAGCAGATGATGTCACTAAGGGTTTCCTCAATTGCTGGATTTCACGCTTCGGAGTACCTCAATACGTTACGACTGACCGTGGTACTCAGTTTGTTTCAGCTACTTTAAAAACTTTAGCAAAACGTTTTGGTTTTACGCTTCGCCCCACTACCAGTTGGCATCCTGCTGCAAACGGATTCGTCGAACGAATGCACCGACAACTAAAGGCAGCCATCATGGCCCACGCAAAAGACTCGTGGACTGAGTCACTGCCTATCGTGCTTCTCGGAATACGTTCTGCGTTTAAGGAAGACTTAAAAGCCACGTCTGCGGAACTTGTTTATGGTGAGCCTCTTAATCTTCCTGGTGATTTCTTCACAGACAAGCAAGATAATAGCAGTACGAACGACCCTACTAGCTTACTAGATCGTCTTCGCAGTGTTATGAATAAAATTCGTCCAGTACCTGCATCTCGCCACTCAAATCCACGATCATTTGTTTTTGCGGACCTTAAGGACTGTTCACACGTATTTCTCAGGGAGGGAGGTGTCCGAGCAGCACTTCAACCGCCATATCAAGGTCCCTACGAAGTAATTGCCCGAAATGACAAAACGTTCACAATAAAAGTTCGAAATCAACCAGTTACGGTGACGATTGATAGAGTAAAACCTGCCTACCTCATGGTGAACGAAAGCACAACCGATAGCCAGGCACATGCTCCACCAGTGACTGTCCCGAATACGCCCAAACAAAAACAACCGCCTAATACCGATCCATCAACACAGCCAGTACGAACAACTCGCTGAGGCCGCCGAGTCAGATTCCCGGACATTTTTGACCCTAGCTAACTCCACTCCGTAGAGGGGTGGTGTGGCGGTCGAATGTTCTAGAGAGTTCCGCCGCCGCCAGAAGAAGATTCCTCTGACTATTTAAGGGCAAGATCGTCGCTCCAGTCATTCAATCAATCAGTCAATCACTTACGCATTCTGTCTTAAACGCGCTTCGTCTCTCGCTGTTATTTGTTAGTTCGTTGTAATATAATATAGTTGTTATTAAATCGTAAAAGTGTTTATTACTTCTATATATTACACCTCGCTACAAAACGAATAATGACTAAACTATTCAGTGATGATGTATTGCAGCACTACTCATATGTTGAGGTTTAAAAGGGAAAAAAATTTTTAGCCAGTTACCAATTTGTAAGGTTGTATTTGGTAAGCAATAACTTGTCTGACTTTTTAATACAAATATTTTAACAATTTTCTTTATTCTAGAATGATGATCAAAATTGTTATTAACGTTATTATTTATTATGATATTATTTTAAGTAAAAAAAAAATTTTTTTTTAACTAGTATGCTAATTTTATTCTAGACTCAATTGTCAAAATTCCAAAATATGAAAATTGTCTACAAGAGGTTGAAGACAAAATAAAAATATATTTAACTCGAGCGGCGCCTTTTAGGTTAAAAAGATCACATAAAAAAAATTAGGTATTCATTCTGATATATGTAGGTGTAATTTATTACACCTACCTATATCATTAATTGTAGGTTCAATTAATAATATAAATAATAGTAATGATAAGAATACTATTTTATTAATAAAATATATTAAAGTAATACATGTTTATTTAAATAATTCTTCAGGAGTGATCTCTTTCCTATAATAAAACACGAGTGTGAAGCTACCAATTCGTGGTCCATTAACTTCTTATCACTAACAAATATCGGTTACCCTTCGGTTACCGATATTTCATAGAGTATAACGCTTTTTCTAACCGATAGATGTAGACACATAATACCAAAAAGCATATATTAAACGCATTTACCAATCATACACACAACAAAGATCTGACGGCCGGTGGGAGTATATATACACTTACTATCGTATACACCGCCGTACCAACTCGGATAATTGTGAACGACCACTGCATTTAACAACTTAGCATTTGATATTATATTATAGAGTATTTTATAAGCTATCAGAATATGTATAGAAAATATCTGGACTCGTCTCGGAACATTCACCAATTCGCAAATTACTGTGGCCGAGTTAATGCTTTTATACGCTACCAAAAGTAATTTCCGCGGTCTTTATTTGCAATATTCAGTTACACCTGCCCGTTTCACCCGTTAGCTTTTCACACCATGTATAGTTTTTTTTATAAAATTTCAGAAAATGTATAGTAAATATCTGGACTCGTCTCGGAACATTCAACAATTCGCAAATTACTGTGGCCGGGTTGGTGCGTTTATTTGAAATAACAATATTTTTTTAATGCAAATTTTTATTGCTTATCAATATAGTGTTGGCAGTACTGTATTGTTTTGTGTCAACTAGAGAGCAGTGTATTATCGTATAACTTGAAATAGCTATTATATAGAGAAATATTATATTTTTACATATCAGTATCGGTTAAGCTGTTAATTATAGGTATTGACTTGATTTACACTCTTTTCTATTATATTTAAAATAATTAATTCGTGGACTTTTTAACATTATTTCTGACGATTTTTATTTTAATTGATTTTTTTAAAACTTNTTTTAATAATAAATGGCGTTGGAATTTTTAATATAACTTTATCCGTTACTTAGTAATTTAATTTTAAAGTTACCAATTTTTGAGTTAAAATATATGTATAATATACATGGATTAAACTAAACGGTAGCTAATTGTTTTTTTACGACGTCGTTGTTCACAGTTACGCAGCATTTATTGCCAATTATGACTTTATCTTCAGATATACTTATAATATGATTGTTTATAATGCACTATGTTGTCAGTAATCATTTATAAATACACAAACCAGAATGAACCGGTATTCGGTTTCATTGGAAATATTGAGGCATTTTTTCTTATCAATGTGTTATCTAAACAAAACTTATTTAACTTATTACATATTCCCTGAAATTTAAAATTATTTTCGAGAGATTCCATAATCTAAAGATTTCTAACATGTCGAATACCATTCTACTTGGACATATCTGTCTCCATATTAATGTCACAATGCTGTGATATCGTACAAAATTCTGTAATTTTGTCTTAGAGTGTGTTATATTTCTAGAATAATTGCACTAGTTTTTTTCTTTTTGTTCAGTTGTCTTAATATTGAAGTGTTAAACAATTTCTTAAGTTTTGTTCTTTGTCAAAATGGATTTGTTTAAAATTGACTAAAAAAATAGCGTTAGATAAATGTCATTAGTCTTGCGTGAATAATTTCATTTCATAAACACCATAACAGGTAATATTAGTAAATACATATTGATGCTCGCTTAATAAGAAAAAACAATATCTATGAATACATTTTTATTTCACCGCAGATAAGTACAAGTATTTTGATGTGATGTCCGTGACAATTTTTGATATTTTACTGAGCAAACTAGAGTTGAAAACAACTAAATTTTATTTCAGAAAGCAGCTACAATTTTTTTTTCATGCATGCATTAGTATGCTTTGATACCTCAATGTCATAGGATTAATATTGTAATCATATTAATAAACAAATATTATCTTAATAAAATCTTACTTGTGTTTTAAGTTTTAATTATTTAAGTTATTTAAAATACATTACAACAAATTAACATGTAACATTTACAATAGTTTAATATTTAAATTTTTACATTTATTATGTAAATATAATTTTTCTTATAATTAACAAATTGTTAAATCCTCAGCGTATAATTTTTCATTTGTATATACTTTCACAAAAATGTTTTATTAGTTTTTAAATAAAAAAATTGTTAATTTTTTTAGTTAATCTTGCCTTTTTTTTAATCAAAGTGTGATATTTAATATGAGATACACATTTGATAATATAAGGCACATAGTATGTACAGTAATTGAAGCTTTTTATAAAGAGGAAAATATAAAATTTTATAATGAAGTTTTCATTATTAGTAAATTGTTTTCATCAATACACTATCACTTATAATAATAAAATTTTCAAACCAATTAACATGTATGATCACAGTTAATGATAAACTTTATACATATATAAAAACTTGATGCTTCAAACAAATAAAATTCAACTACTATTGAAAATTTATTTATAAATCTTAACATTGGAAATGGAAATAACTAATTATAACCTGGGATTCTTAGAGTTCAAAGCAAATCTGATTTTGCTATAGGAAGTTACACACACTTGTATTCATCACGGTTTAATTTGTTAAATTTTTAAAGTATATAAAATCGAGGTTTTAAAAAAAAAAATTTTTTTTTTAAATAAATTTTAATTATTTAAATTAAAAGTTCATTATTAATAACAATGTCAAAGTATAGCATTAGTGATAAAGCTGATATAATGTCTTGCTATATTGAATGTAAGAAAAATAAAAGAGCAGCAGCAAGGTTAATATTTAATATTTTTTAATTTTAAAATATCCATTTAACAAACTTAAAATTAAAGGTTGTACAAACTACGGTACACTAATCGTACATGCCCATCAGAGTCCACGTTTTGTCAAGTTTATAAGAACATGTCGATGTTTGGCAGCTTTAATCGCTCAAAATGTAGGGTTAGGACACTTTCAACTGTACAAAAGTCTACCTTAGTTTTAGCTTATCTTAAAACTAATCCAAATAGTTCATTAAGATCTGTGGCAGGTATTCAACTAAAAAGTAAAACATGAAATTAAGACATGTAAATTTGATTTATTTATTTTAGAAATATTGGGATTATCTTACAGTACCGTTCAATGTATTTGTAAACGGTACAAATACCATCCATATAAATCGACAAATGTCCAACAATTGCTAACCAGTGATTATGAAAGGCGATTAGAATTTGTTTTTCATATTATGGTAAATTTGGAGGATAACCCAAATTTTTTATCACGGATATTGTGGACTGATGAGTCAAAATTTTGTAATAATGGTGTTGTCAATCATCACAATAGCCATTATTGGAGTGACACCAATCCTCACTTAACAATTGAGAGTAAAAGTCAGTTTCGGTGGAATATTAATGTTTGGTGTGGTGTGATTGATAATAAGCTTATTGGACCTTATTTTTTTGAAGAAAATTTAAATGCTACTAGATATTTGAATTTTCTGAAAAATGATTTACCAGTTTTGCTGGAAGACTTACCATTGGAAATGAGGCAGCATATTATATGGCAACAAGATGGTGCACCAGCTCATAATGCCAAAATTGTTCAACAATATTTGAATACAATTTATTACAATGGTAATTGGATTGGAACAAATAGCCCTGTTGTGAAATGGCCACCACGGTCACCAGATTTAACTGTACTAGATTTTTACTTGTGGAGTTATTTGAAAAATGAAGTGTACAGAGAGCAGCAGCAGTTTTCTTCTAAAGAAGAATTAAAACTTAAAATAACCGAAGTATGTTCAAATATTCCACATGATGTTATTAAAAGAGCAACAAATAACGAAGTAAAAAGAAGATTAGAATTCTGCTTTAACACTGATGGGCAACATTTCCAACATTTGTAAATAATTAAAATAAAGTAATTAATAACATAAATGCAACAGTTCATTAATTTTGATTATTAATTATCTCCGGGATAGCAACCACTATCACCTAAAAATTTAAATAATAATAATTAATTAGGTGACACATAAAGAGACGCCTAATTGTGTTTAAACCATCAGATAATTTTTTAAATTTGATATTCACTTTTACCCAGTGTAGCCAGACGTTGAAAAATAAGGCTAGACTATTAATGTATTGAGAAACCAAGAAAACAATGTAGATGGTAAAATTATTTATTTATTCTATTAACTATTCAATTTTTTCTTATAATTCAGTTCAAAATTCTATTATACATCTAGTATGTATACCTAGTAAAATACCTAATAAACTTAATGGTATACATATATATTTTTTAAAAAAATCTGATCCTTTACCAGCTCACGGAGGGGGATTCAAAATGGCAACTTTTCTACAAATAATTGAATTTTGAAATTGTTCCGGAAATAATGACACTTAATAAATTGTAGAAATAATAAGTCTCGAATGATAATTACTTGGATGCAGCAATTTATACAATTAACAATAATTATTTGTTTATAAATGTAATTTACATATTTTTTTTATATACTCACTATGTCTATGCATTCTGAAGAAGATTTAATTAAAAATTAGAGTTGTTAGTTGACAATATGTCATTTCTTTTGATCTTCAACAAAACTATTATCTAACTAAATCTGATATGCATGTAGGGTACAATTAAATTTTTAAGAAATAAATAATAATCTTATAAGTCATATTTTCTTTTTATTAAAATGTCAATATTTTAAAAGTTACATAATTGTTCTTTTTTTTAAAATCTTTATTTCAAAATTTTTTATCTTTGACAAATATTCTTGTTTTGTTTTCGCTTTTTTAAACATTTAAAAGATTTAACTAAATTTTTTTTATACAACTTGTTTGATTGTAGATTCTTTTACTGTGGCAGATTTCGGTAAGATTACCTAGGCGTGGTTACAAGGGGAGACAGGCCTTCCCAAAATTAAAATTACATTCTAAAAACAGTTGTCTTTCAGAAAAATAGTTATCATTTTTACAGAAATAAAAAATGCTACTACCTGAGGATCTATTTTTTAATCATTTGTTCAAGAACGTATTCGTTCAAATTTTATTTTATGCATTGTATAGGTTTGTATGACGAACGTTGTTCATGAACACGTTCGGACCGTATGAAATATTGAAGGGACGACCGTTTAGAACAATAGAAAACGTTCGTTAACAACAGTTGTTAAGAACCATCCAATAGCGAACGGACGGTCATTTATAACAATAAAAAGGTTTTACCCTTATGCTTACCTTTTAGGTAAACATATTTACTTAAAATACAATTTTAAATTAACATCGTATATTAGTTATATTAATTAATAATATAAAAATAAATAAATAAAATAAAATATATGTAGCACTTTATTTTCGATAATTTTAGTATTGTTGTTTAAAGTGCATTAATAATTTTTAATTTAACATGTGTGCAATTGTACATACTTTTTTTTAGAATTTGTGTAATTAAATTATTTATTAATTTTGGTGAATTACTTAAACTGAATTCACATCAAGTGAATTAAACTAACAAATTATAAATGTATGTTTTAGTAATAAATTATTATTACTTAAAAAATAATATATTAATTAAAAATAAATATTTTAATTATAAAAATCAAGTTGATAAATTTAAAATTCAAAATATTTATTTATATTATTACAATAAATTGCAAACAATCGTGGAACTTAAAGGTTCATCGAACAATACCTAGAAGGTCGTATACCTAATAGAACAATAGAATCCGTTTGATGAACATTTATGTTCGTGGAAATGTAGAATTTTGACCATATACCTAATAAAACAATAGAATCCGTTGATTTCGACGATTCAAAAGTAGGCCCTCTACTTGACAAATCAGGAAACGAGGATTACATGCAAACATAACCTATATTGACAACATGAAATCAATCAAGGATTGCTGTAGAAGCGTAATTTAAATTAATTCAGTTGAGAAATCCCGAAAAATTATGTAAGTTCATCTTAACATTACATTTATAATTTATATTATACATTTTATGTATAGAGAGATGCAATTTCATTAATAGTTATTGATATAAACGTATTTATATAAAGGCATTCATGTAATATTTAACTGCAATTGGCTCAATTTGACATTGAGCCAATGTCGTATTTAGGTTTATTTTGAGGTAGATTGGCGTTTTTAAGATCGTATTAGCTTCCCTGATTTAATTAATTAATTACATTAAAGTTGTTTAATCACGCATTTGAATGAATTTCTCATTATTCATAGACCCCGATTTAAAATGTTTTTTGCTAGTATGCAAAAAAATGTACATTGAAAAAATCATGATGCATCAAACAGTGTACTGTAGAATTGAATATCATACTTAGAAAATAAAGTTAAACGGTCTAAAAATAATAAGTTATTATATATGTGATACTAATAGTTATTCTGATAAATGTGAAAAAATAATTTAGAACTCAATTTAAATTTAAGTAATAAATTCATTCATTTTATTAACTTTATTTAAATTAATTTATATTTAATATTGTGTTTGCTATAGATGTTCAAAATGCTGTCCTTATACCTTTTAAGTATAATCTTAATTATAAATCAGTTTAATGAATATTTTTGAATACTAATAATTATGTTTTTAATAATAATTGTTATTATGTATTAACCTTGTTGCAGCTCTCTTATTTTTCTTACTTTCGATGAAGAAAGACCTATTATTTATTTTTTCTTCATTATTGTAAAACGACATCTTTAATATTTTAATTATTAATAGGTAAATTAAAATAAAATAAAACTAATTAATAAAAAAAATAACTTAAAAATATGTAAAATATAAAGTTTGCTATTGAATGTGACTAAGTAATGAATTTATAAAAAATAAACTGTAGTTTACTTTAAAACTAAAAGATAAATCTATAAAAGCATAAAAGAGTTCCAATCTGACTATGTGTTACACATTCAGATTTTATTTTCTTTAGATTATTGTATTATGTGAAGTCAATCTGAAAACCTTAAAATTGAAAATAGTATTATAAGTCTATACCTAAATAGTTTTGTAAATAACATAGTAGATAGAAACTTATAAGAATATTCTTATTTTTCTAGTAGTTAAATTATAAAAATAAGCGTTTTGTTCCTGGAATCCTTTTGTTATTATATTGATAATGTTATTATTATTATTATTATTTTTTTTTGATAATACATTAAAAAGTAACCCATGAAAATTAGTTTTTTAGTTAATTTAATGATAATTTATTTTTATTTTTACTTCTAGAAAAACATGTTAATAGAAGTCCTCATCTACATGCATAATTTTTTCAGAGTGCTGCAAGGAGCCCAATGAACTCGTACTTAAAATTCCTTAAAACAATAAATAAAAAATTGCTATTAAAATTACTATCAATTAGAAGAACTTGTGTTACATACTTTTATTTTCTTGTGCTGTAGAACTAGTCTGGTTGACCTGACTAGTAGTTACATTGTTAATAAAATTAGAAGGCCAACATTTTGGCATAGGATACAACATCTTGTGTTGGGTTTTTCGGTCAGTTGTACAGCATCGAATCTAAATATTTTCAAGAATGATTTATGCATGTAATTTATAAATAAGAAGATTACTATAAAATAAAAAGTGGACCTTGTATAGTTACTCTATAACCAAAAAAATGGAGTTATATCAAACAAGTCATAGAGGACTTGAATTGATTGCTTATTCATGGAGGACTACTTAAAAAAATATTTAATAAGATATTGGTTGCAAAATTTTGGTTAAAGACTTCCTGTAGGTAAACCCTATGACATTGGAAAGATTTTAAAAGATTGCAAGGATGGACTTAAGCAGATGTTATGTTCAAGCTTTAAGGGTTAATAGCCTATGTATGATCATAATATACGTATAATTTTATAATTAAATTATTAAACATTATACTTATTATAAAGTATATCAGGTCAATCTATACATGTATACAAGAAAAATATACTTAAAAGCATTTACCTCGCCATTTTTTGTCCAATAAGAATACCTAGATTTTGCTTTCTTAATAATATTAAAATCATCCATATTTTCTATTTTAATATTTTTAATAATTTCTTGAAAATTTGAATGTTGCGGACACCACCATTCAGAGCAGATTTTCTGGTGAAGAACCAATAATATTTTAAATGTACGTACATTCATATACGTTTCATATTTTTATGTATAATTTATTTACATACATATGTACATATGTTTATAATTTTCTAACAATCAAGCCAGCAATCAATGTTAATATAAAGTAATAATGAGAATTAATACACAATTCATTGGCTAGATCATAAATAGGGTTTATTTTTGCATATACATATAATGTATAATGTATAATAGTACTTATGGTACAACAATGCCCATAAGATATAGAAACTTTTTTTTCATAGCATGTAATAGTACATTAAAAACATCTATAAAATATATTACTATTGATATAACTGAGTTAAAAAGAATGTTATGCTAACATAGTCAATGTGATTTGTGAATCTAGATAATTTTAAATATTGATCAACAAATAAAAGCAAATTTCTAAACATATGTTCATTGTAAATTGTATGTATATTTTTTATTAGTAATTTTTAATAATATTCTACAGAGTGATCGGTTTATCATAAGCCACTTGATTACTCGAAAATAAATATATTGGAAAAATTATTTTTTATTTTTTTTAGTTACATTTTGTTAATTTTTTGTTTAATATACTTATACTGTTTAGTATACTTATTAGGATAATATCTTATAAATTATAGGGTTGTCAATTTTTTTAAAGGTAACAACATACATATTTAATTAACTTATAAAACAAAAAATTATCTTATTAAGAAAATGACTGAAGGATAACAACTTTTGGACCAATACTTTGAACATTATTCTCATTTTTATATCTAGGCAGAACGAAGAGTATGGTCGGTAAATGACTAGTTATAAAAAGAGCAGCACCCACTCCTCATCTCCAGTCATTACTTTAAATTGTTAATAATTTCTGAAATACTGTTAGTTATAATAGTTATAAATACTGAAAGTTGTTATCGACCAGTAATTTACTTAATTAGATAATTTTTTAATTTATAAGCCATTTTATTACATGCGCTATTTTATAATTTAATTAAATATGTATGTTGCCATTTAAATAAGTTGACACTCCATTAAGTTTATAACTAAAAGAAAGAAACTATCATTTTTCTTATTAATTTATTATTTTATTTTTCTGTATTGCATTTATTTGGTGAGTAAACAAGTGGTTTATTATAAACCAATAACTCTGTATATTTTTATATTAATTAGTATTTTTAACTTAAACAAAAGTTATTTTAAGTTTAGGTTTTTTTTAATGTATATTTAATTTATTAGTTAAATAAGTTAATGAATATCATATAATAATACAATAGTATAATTGTGTCCAATTCAAAAGTTAGTTGTAGATTGTTCTTTATACATTCTTTATATGGGATTAAAAATAAATTATTTTTTCTAAAAATATTGAACAGTTGGTTAATACAATTACCTTAAAACAGAAAATTATACACTTAAATTTATTTTGAGATATTAAATGTAGTTTTATAATATAAATATTTTATACAACAAATATTACACTGATTAATTCTTACTTCTTTATTTTCAGAAGTCCTAGATGTTTTAATAGTCAGCTTATTAAAATTAGCAAATACCTGCTCCTCTATTTTTGCTACAACCTTAGCTTCCAAGTTTCTCAACTTTTCAGCTACCGTTTGATTGATTAGTAGTACCGATTCAGAAATTACGTGACCAGAGCCAGCCTTTTTTAAAGATTCCTAAAGTATTTCAATTTTTTTTAAGTTATATTGTAACATGAACTCGAGTTTACTTTTTTATTTTAGTAATATCACATAAAAACTGTACTTGCCCTCAATCTATCTTGCTCCTCGACACATTCTCTATGAAGCCTATTATTGGCGCTTTTAAGTTCAATGAGTTTATTTTTTAAGTCAATCTATGAAAAATAAAGTAAAATTGTTTTAATGTATCATAAAATAGTTTAATTTGTTGTTTAAAAGAGTCATTAGAATAGTACTAACTATTAGATTCAAAGGGCAAGGGTCAAAACATATTATTTAACCCACCTTTTGTCTATACATTAGAACATGTATAATTTCATGCAAGAAATAAAAATGTTTTAAAAATCTAAATTAATTTTTAAATATTTTTTTTTAAATCTAGTTTGTAAAATTCTGATGACTTAGTAAATTCATATTCTTTCTTATTGTACCCTTATGCAACTTAGCATGTATAAAAATTAATTCCATTAAATCAACCAATACTACTTTATAATAAAATTTAAGAAAAAAACTTACATTTTCTTCCTGTACAATACTTTTTTCTTCTGTAATGATTTCTACATCATTACAAATAGTATTAATTTTTTGTTCCAAAAGCTTAATTTTCTGTGAGATATTATAAAATAGAACAATAAGTGTGAAAAAAATATATATATTTTTTAATATAATACCATACATACTTGTTTTAGTTGATGATTTTCTCTAACGAATGACTCAGATGTCTCTGCCACATGTTTATAGTACTCTAACTCAGTACCTTTAAAAGAGGGATCAGCAATTAAATATGCCTCGTACATACTTAGAGTCTCACTCATTTTAGTAATTTTTAATAAAATATTAAAAATTAAAATAAAATATTAAAAATTATTTTTAATAATTCCACACAGTACATATAAATATGTATGACTTAAGTAAATACTTGTAAAGTTACACCTATCAAGATACCTTTACAAATGAACTCTATAAAAATTCCAAAGTCTTAGTATGCATTTTTATTTCTAATTTTACCATTTCTAGTGTTCTAATATTTTTAAATTTTTCCCAGGAAATAAAAAAAAAAAAAAAAGAAAAGTAGTTTATTGGTAGTAAATAATATATTTATGTTCAAATAAATGTCCAATTAATTTGATAACCATTCATTGTGTATTAAGTCATAAAATTGTATTTCCCTTATTTATAAAAAAACAAATGCCCAATTATGACTTCAATTTTATCAATAGAATTTCTTATAAAATATTTTTCCCACGACAAAAGTACTAGTAACACTATTGTCATTAACAATTTTCCATTTCGTTTTACTAAAATAGTCATAAATAGTAATTTTAATCGAAAATCTCTAATTTAACTAATAGTTAGTCTCGTAGCATTTAAACAAAAATTGTTGCTAGTGTAATTAAAAAATCTATAATTTAAATTAAAAGAACTTAACTATAAAAGGAAAAATACTTCTGATTTACAGAGACAATGTAATATAATTATTATTATTTTTTTTTTTTGTAACAATATATTAGTGTACTAGTATTGCCAAATATTGTATATTATCGTATTATTTTTATTATATGTAGATAATTTTATATGTATTTTGCTTTACTCCATTATTTTATTGATATTAAATTGTAAACTACATTTGTAAAAATGATCAATAATAATAGTAACTAAAGAATTTATTGCATCAAATTAAGACATATTCCGTTTATATCACATTTTTACATGAACAATTTTTTTAAATATTTTATTTAAAATAAATATATAATATGTATGTAGTTGCAGTCATTATGCACAATTGAATACTAATTAATGATCAATTACATATATTGTTATATTAATACTACACACAACTATTTAATTACTACTCAATGAAGAAGTATATAAAATATCTGTACGTATTATGTTATAGATGTATGAATATAAAATAATAACTTAATAATAAATTTATTGTGATTCAAATATAAAAATTATGTTATGTATTNGAATATAAAATAATAAATTTATTGTGATTCAAATATAAAAATTATGTTGTGATAAAACAACAACATATCAATGATCAAAATCAGGAGAAACTAGGCCAGGAATATTTCTGAATATTGGTATTATAGGATATAACTATACGGAATATAATTCTGAATATTTTAATTGTAGCGTCTATTTAAACACCAAAAGTTATTCAAACACAGAACTGTAATGTATAGAAATGATTACTATTTTTATTAAAATTATTTATTTCAATATTAATACAAAAAATAGCGATTTTTATGAAATTTTGAGCTTTTCTCATAAATTTACTGTAATAGTAATTATATAAAGTTTTTGACCTTATCAATTTAAACTACATGATTTTTTTAAATTCTCATAAGATTTTCAATCTAATGATATCAATTTCAAACTTGCAAGTTGCGCTGAAAGAAAATATAAAAGTCCGACATTTTTAAATAATAAACTTTCATAAAAATCAATATTAAAAACATGACATTTTGAATCAAAATTTTGCTTGGATTATTTATAACATATTAAAAATCTTTTTATGTAAATAATAGTTTTTCTAATTAATAACCTCATAAAAACAGATGATAGATAATTTCAATATGAATAAGAAATTCCTATTCACAAAGGGTTAATTGCAGTAATGTGAATTATTCAATCTAAATTGATATAAAAATCAAAGAAATTTTTAATATTTTCCCTATACTCAAAAAGATGATCCTCATTACTATAGCCAACCCTTGTAGATGGAAAACTTATAAAATTTTACAAAAAATTTCTTTTTGAAGTTATTAGTTTATATTCAAAATAAATATTTTCAAATAAAAAATTAGGGGAGATTGGTCTTATAACCTCACTTTCTTAATACGCCAATGCAATTTATACTAATTTCTTAAAAACTTTTTCAAATAAGTTTGATATACAACATTAATTCATTAATTTTTTTTTTTTTAATTTTCCAATTTTTACACATAAATCGTACATTTTTCTTTTATTTTGATGTCCGTTTTCACCACGAAGACGATCCAGGGGTCAGATTTTTCAATTTAAAGTATATTACATAAGCTTTATGGCAGTATTAAGTACCAAAATAACATAACGATAAAGGTTATTTTTTACATGAAACTTACATTTTTTATTCAATTTATAAATTAAATAGAAATAAGGGTGCATAAATGGAGTATTCAATACCAATATTTTTTCCTAGGATATAAAATTTAGGTTTAAAAAAAATGTTTGACCAATATAAATTTTATTTTCTAGATTATAAATAATGTTATGTTTCATATCGTAAATAACACACAAATATTCAAATTTTCATAAACTTTAAAATACTACAGAACTACCCTGGTAGCAAAGACAAACATTTTGATAAAACTTGGAGAGAATAAAACAATTTTTATGTTTAATCCCTCAATATAAATTCTAAATGAGCCACTAAAAAGTATAAACTTTAATATATAAAACATCAATAACTTTAATAATAGACAAAGTGCTCAAAATAAAGTTATAATCTTTTTCAAAATTATGCATAAACAGACAATAGAATTTTATAAAAATATCATTTAATAAAAAATATAGGAACATTCATAAAAATTATTCAAAAATATCAAGGTAGCTAATAAAAATAATAAAAGGTTTCAATAAAACAACAAACATATACATTTTTTTCCAAAAATATATTAAAATTTTATTATAAATAAGATTAATATACAAGTACAATTGTAAAAAAAATACTAATACAAAATTTTTTTTATAAAATTAGCTAACAAAAAACTAAAATTAATATGATAGTTCTAACTAAATTTATTATGATTATAAATTTAATTTTACAAAAAACATACATTTGTATATTTATAACATTATTACATTATGTAAAATTTTTTTATAAAATATTGTTTATGTAAACCAACTAAGATTTGTAATTACTAATAGATATTTAATCATTTAACACAATTCCAAAGTTAATTTCTACTTTTGGCTTTTATTTACTATGAACATAGGTATTAACTTAAAAATATAATAACTCAAAAAGTTTGAACAGAAAATAAGACACATTCAAAAATACATGTACATTATATTACATGTACATGTATATTAAAGTGTTTAATTGTATATTATGAGTAACAGATAGAAATTATAAGTGAAAAATTAACTATACATTTTAATTAAAAATACATTTTTCTACAATCAAACAAGTTTTGGTTCATTGATGTTTATAAAATATAAATTAACTATTTTTCATGACTTAAAATAAAAAAATTTTAGTTAAATCCTTTAAATGTTTTACAAAACGAAAACAAAACAAAAATATTTGTCAAAGATAAAAAATTTTCAAATAAAGATTTAAAAAAAAAAAAACAATTATGTAACTTTTAAAATATTGACATTTTAAGATTATTATTTACTTTTTAAAAATTTAATTGTACCCTACATGCATATCAGATTTAGTTAGATAATAGTTTTGTTGAAAATCAACAGAAATGACATATTGTCAACCAACAACTCTAATTTTAAATAAAATCTTCAGAATGCATAGACATAGTAAGTATATAAAAAAAATATGTAAATTACATTTATAAACAAATAATTATTGTTAATTGTATAAATTGCTGCATCCAAGTAATTATCATTTGAGACTTATTATTTCTACAATTTATTAAGTGTCATTATTTACGGAACATTTTCAAAATTCAATTATTTGTAGAAAAGTTGTCATTTTGAATCCCCCTCTATGAGCTGGTAAAGGATCAGATTATCAAAAAAATATATACCATTAAGTTAATTAGGTATTTTACTAGAATTTTGATATTACTATTTTGAAAAAAAAAAGAATAAACAAATAAAGAGTACAATTAAATGAAGGTTTAACCTTTGTAAATAGTAAATCACTTAATGGAAATAAAAAATGCAAGTATATGAGTATTTCAAAAATATTTAAAAAAAATTAAATTAAAGTTTGTTTAAATATTGATAGTGATTTTATAAACATTTTGAACACTATTAACAACTTTTATATAATTAATTACTGTATTAAAAGAATTATTTTCATCTCTTAATTAAAAAAAAAAAAATTGATTTGTCATGTTATTGTAACTATCTCTTCAATTACTATTTATTATAATCCTGCAGACATTTTTTTCCTTTTGCCCAACTTAGAATATTTTCATAAGAGAGCTGTGAAACACCAGTTAATGAATTTTTCTTAATACTTGAGTCTATGACAGAATTTGCGTAATACATGATTTCATGTAGAATTTGCGTAATGACATAGAAAATCATGTACTAAAAAAATTTTACAAACTGACATTTCGACAACCCTCCATGAAAAAATTATAAGTTTCAGCAAAACAAAACTTGTTTCTACATGAAATATAATAAATTGTAATTTAAAAGTAATCACTAATAACTGCCCAAGTTAAAATAAATTAGAACTGAATATATTAGGAAGTCAAAAATATATAATTAAAAATGAAAAATAATTTAAAAAATTGAATTTTTTTATTAAGCTATCATTAGACTGTGTAAATATATGTATAAAAAATAAATAAATTTTCTGTAAATCATTAATACACATATGCATTTTCATATACAAAATTCATATGAAAATCACCCAATTGCAAAACGTACGTCCAAAAATATATATTTTTTAATTTTGATTTTTCTTGACAAATTAGTTTACAATAAGTTAGGAAATAGGAAAATAACAAATAAAATTTACTTGAACATGCATCCTTTTGTAACTGAACGACTCGAAATTCATTTATTATGTTTTTTTTAAATAATTAAATATTTATTTATGTATAATTTTTATACTGTACATAAATAATGTAGAACATTTACTTCTCCTTTAAATTTTAGGTTACAACTTTTTACAACTACATTTAATTTAATTTCATTGAAAAAATAAAATAATAACCTGCATCACAATATTATAAATGTAACCTTATTTTTATTTGCTCATTAATAATTGCAGTTCAATTTTAAAAATTTGTTAGTTCAAGTAGTAACATCAAAATTATAATTATAAAAAATTATTAACATAAAAGAAACTCAACCATAATAACATTACTATAAAAGTTTAATAATTAGTGAAAATTAATTAATGATCTTATGTGGTTGAAATAATTATAGCTAACTAAAAAATGTCTAATAACATATACACAACAAATTTGAAACTGAAATAGAATATAAAATAAACAAAATTAATATACAAATGATATAATTTAATAATTACAAAACCCAAATGAATTTTGTATAACTCACTTTGGTTTTTTAAGAATAATGTATACGATTTATATTCAATTCTTTCCATGAAAGGATGTAGTACAATCATGATTAAATCTTGTTAACTTTTAGTTGTGAATAGAAAATTGACCAAATAACATTAAATGGTAAATAAGATTTCTCTCAAGTGCATACTTTTTAGAATATACATAAAAATTTAAATGGCAGACATCAACATTTTAACTAAAAACAATTTAAGAATTAGGATTGAAAAGATTTTTTTCATATTGAACATACCTCTGCTGTAGAAATTGTGAATATGTGAATTTTGTATAGTAAAATTTTTATTTGGTTTTTAGAAGTAATGATCATTTAATAACCAAATTAAAATAAAATTTCATTACATTACTGATACGCAAGTTACTTGACATGTTAAAAGATTTTATACTAGTAAATCATAATTCATGTGGCCGATTTGAAAGATAAAATTTGCTCATCCCAAACCACGTGTACTTAGCCAAAGTCCATAGCTGCAGGCACCATATCAAAACCTTTGAATATTTTCTACGACGAAATAAAAATATACTCATTAATAATAAGTTTTCCTTATTGCATAAAGTATCAATTTCGGTATTACAAATAATTAAAATTTTTATAAATTTTCGGTAATTAACTGACACTTAAATAGAATAACACATCCTGCGCGTTTACTTAAGTAAAGTAACATACATTTCAACAAGATAGGTTGCATCACGATTAAAACGAGTATACAAGTAAGGTTATATTACATTAAATTGTTTTCTTATTAGTAAATTTTAAATTTCAGAGAACATCGATTGTGTTAAATCAGAGTGCATTATTTGCCTGATAAGAAAATTGCTTCAATAATTTCGATGGAGTCGTATATCGGTAACAATCCGGGATGGGTGGGTAAACTGTTATATTATAAACCTTTCTGTTGATAAAGTCTTATGGGCAATAAACGCTGCGTAACTGTGAACAGCGACGTTGTAAAAAAACAATTAGCTACCGTTTAGTTTAATCCATGTATATTATACATATATTTTAACTCAAATATTCGTAACTTTAAAATGAAATAACTTAGTAACGGATAAAGTTATATTAAAAATTCCAACGCCATTTATTATTAAAAAAAAATGTCTATTATTTTATTAAATTCAAAATACATGTTCCCATTTGAAAAATCAAAGTTGAGACCCTTAAAAGACATAAGGGATGAACCTAAAAAATACTTCATAACGAATTAATAGAGAATAACATGTAACTAAAAGTACCCAAAAAAAAAAATTTCAAAATAACTTTTTTTTTGCGAGTAATTGAGTGGGTTATGATAAAAAAATCACCCTGTAGAGAAATATTATATTTTTACATATCAGTATCGGTTAAGCTGTTAATTATAGGTATTGACTTGATTTACACTCTTTTCTATTATATTTAAAATAATTAATTCGTGGACTTTTTAACATTATTTCTGACGATTTTTATTTTAATTGATTTTTTTAAAACTTTTTAATTGGTTTGCTCAATGGTGGGCATTAACTAGTTGAAAAGTTAAAGTTAAGTTAAAAAGTTAATGTTTTTTTAACTTTTCAACTTAACTAGTTAATTATTTTTCTAATAAACTTTTTAACTCCAACTAATTAAATTTTTCGTTGAAATAACTTAGCCTTTTTTTAGTTAATTAGTTGAAATAACAGTTAAGCTAAATTCAAAATTCCATAAAAAATGTATGACATACATTTTATTAAACGCTGCTTACGTGATTTAATTTAAAAAAAATCCAATATTAATACTAAAATCTGTGTTTTATATTTTTTGGTTATAAAAATACAGAATGATTAATAGTAATAGTAACTATACAATGAAGGATAGACATAACAATACTCTACTCAGATATATTATTATATGATGAAAATAATCATTAATGATAAGGCCGCACACCTGCTCTCAGAATTGGGGAAAATTCTAAAAATAGCTTAAATGCAATGCACTTACTGTGGTTGTGTATGATGTTATAGTTATATGGTTTTCATACAATCGCCAATCGAATATGAAATAATATGTTCATAACAAAATTGTGGCGTCAGTTGGTAAATATTATGTTATGTTTTAATTATGTAATGTTGTTTTATGTTTATAATAATAATTTATACATCGTGAATCTAAATTTTTTTGTTATGTCGATAAGTAAAATAAGTGATTCCAGTGGTAATATACCACTTGAATCAATTGAGCAATCTTCAAATTGTTTAAAGTGGCCATACATTAATTCTTTTTTCAAACAAATGTTTGATAATACAAGTAAAAATTCTTTAACATTTAAGTGTTTGTTATGTATACCCAAAAGAAAATTATTATCAGTTTCTCATACATCAAATGCCAATCTTAGAACTCACATTAAGGTTATTATTATTTATTCTACTTCATAAATTTAAATACTATTTTTAATATAAATATTAATAACTTACGTGTCAGGTTATCTAATGAAGAAATGTATGGAGAAAATATAAGCAATTTGTACTGAATTATATGAAAATATGGTTTTCCAGGAGACACATACAAGTTTTTTGCAAACTGAGAAAAATTCGAGCCTTGATCTGTAATGAATGCCTTGATGTTCAATTTAATATTTTGCAACCGCGAAATAGTTGAAAAAATAATATCTTTTAAATCATTGCCAGAACAGCTATTAGAGATGAGAAAATATGCGATTGGTTGTTTCCAATTATGATTTATTCCTCTAAGCATAAGTACAATAGCATATTTTACAGGTTCATATTTTCTGCACTTAGTTGTCTCATGAAATCCAACTATTTTGTCTCTTGCAACTTTATAAAATAAATGTGTTTTAAGTGACATTTCATCAGCGCAAAGGATACAATCACGAGCTTCAGGTAATAAACTATTAATTTTATATGATAATAAATGAAAAAGAAAATCATTGAGTCCCGGTGTAATTTCAAATCTGCTAGTGACTCTTCTCAATGTTCGGCATGAAGGAAGGTTGAGAGGTTTTTGCATATTTTTATATAGTTTTGCACTTATAAAAAATATATTAAGAGCTAATTGTTTGATTTCATTTGAATACCTATATCCTTTTGGTTTTCGATTTTTGTTTTCAATTTGTGATTTCACCAATAGACATATAGTTGGTGAGCAGTATTTTTCACAGACTTTCAGACAGGTTATGATGGAATAATCTTCAGCTAGTTCAGGATTACAACTTATTACTGACTCCAGTTCTTTTCTTCTTTTTGTTTCTGCGAAGAGATCTTTCCTAAGTGACATTTTCCGTGGAGTTCGATCTNCGAAGAGATCTTTCCTAAGTGACATTTTCCGTGGAGTTCGATCTGTTAGAGATGATGGAGTTTGACAATGGGTACTCATTTGACAACTCATTTCTACTGATGTCGAAGTGGATACATCCGACACAGATATCGTTGAATAGGCAGAGGATGTATCTAAAATAAAAATTAAATAGATATTGTAATAAAAAATTAAATAGTATTATAATATAATAATCAGTCTAATTAAGTATTTATAAATTATTTTAGAAATAGCTAAAGTTATAAGTAAAAACATACCAGGTGTTGAACATGATGGCAAGCACTCCACTGTTTCATTATCATTATCAGCAATAGTTTCAACAGCCTGTTCCTCTTTGTTTAATAGTGCATCTTCAAATAACGTTGGAATAGCATCAGGTCTAAGACGGTTCTGTTTTTCATTTCGAAACATACAGTTTTCAAAATACAATGAACACAACCGATAATTTTTGTTCAAAACTACTGCATCAATTCCTTTGAGATGGGACAATCCACATTTGTCAATCCAAACTTCACACCTATACAATAAATAATAATTTAATATTTCAATTAATTGAAATATATTTTATAAATGCTAAACAAATTACTTACCTACAAGGATCCTTAGGAAAAGAAAAATGACTTACTAATGCCGGATCTACTTCTAAACTTTTGCAGTTTTTTATTGAACATTTAAGTATTTTTCGTTTTGCAGTTAAAAAGTAGTCCATTGCAATTGAAAAATTAAAACTACAGCAAGTGATAATCACTAGTCAAAATATAATAGCAAAACTCACAACAACGGTGAACGGAACACAACACACATGAAGCGCAGACAAACCACAATTCACGAATGATCAGTGAGTCGCTACAGATTTATGACATGTGTAGGCGGTTTGTTTACCAATAAACCATGTTTATAAACATTGTGTTTACAAACAAACCATTAATAATGGTGTTGAACAATGTGACCGTATGTAAAGAAAAAAGGGAATACATTTTTTTTCTTAAGTGGCAACACTGAGCGACATAAGCTTGTTATAAGCAAAAACTAAGAGTGTCCATTCTGGTTTAATCTATTCTGTGCCTATACCCATATTGTTGTAGTTCCCCCCAATGGACGTGTCAAAGTTGGTACCACCACCACCCGGCGTCACAATCACTGGTCATTACAAATGTCGCGACAACGCATTTTTTTTTTCCAACCAAACTACCGAAGCGACAAGTCGTGTCTTCTTTATATTTTTGGTTGTGAAAACCACGTTTTTATGTACATTTATATTTTTGGCCTCCGTTTTTTTTTCTAATAAAATAAAACGTTGAGTCGACCGGCCGTCAACCCGGCTGTTTATATTTTTTTGTCCTCCGTTTTTTTTATTAAAATAAACGTTGAGTCGACCTGCCGTCTACTTGTGGCTTCAACCCGGCTGTTCATATATTTTTTTGTCCTCCGTTTTTTTTTTTTAAATAAACGTTAAGATGCCAATGATGATGACGATGTGAGGCACAACTATGGCTGGTGGTGGGCCGTCACTCTTCAACTCAACCAACAAGTATCAACATGAAACCTCCTTTTACCTCATTTTTAATTTTGTGTAACTAACACCGCTCTTTTTCTTCTTTTTTTTATTTGTTCCTTTATGAATATATATATATATTAAAAATTTTCAATAATTAAAAAGAAAAAATATTATATTATCATGGTCTTTCTCTTTTTATTAACATTTTTTTTTTATCAAAACCTAGTAGCTCCGTCAACAAGTACTATCTTGCTTGGCGCGGCTACTAGGTCACTGTCCAGTGTACCCCCTGGGCAGTGGGTAATTACTAGGCCCTCTGGTTTGGCTGAAACCTTACACCATAAAAGTTAATGTCATGTCAGTGGATGACCAAAGAATTAGTTCTTTAAAAAATGTGTCAGACATTTTCAAAACTAATTCTTCTAATACTAAATTAGATAACAAACTAGAATACAAGAACCTAGCTATAATTAATAATTCTAAAGCATTCTGCTCAGAAAATGTAGGTTCATTGATATCACCAATAACGAATAAAGTAATTATAGTTCATGATAGTAATATTCCAACTCTTAAATCGAGTGATTTTACTCCAAACAATAAAGAAATGAACCAGCAAAGTACTGCAATAAAACACGTGCGTGAAGTGAGCAATTTCTAGCCAGCAAATTCTTATCAATTTAAAGATGCGGTAACGACATAGTTACCAAATATTAGTTACTATATTCCACTACTAGGAGCGGTGAATAT